AAAACTAGAAAAATACACTTAGAAAACACACAATCAACAACAATGAAAAAGTTGAAAAGAAAATGCGTAAAGAAAAACGACTCAGCACAGAAAATTAAGTGGAACAAAGAAACATGGATAACACACAAAAAAAGACATCAAAATGACAGCACGAAACTCACACCTATCAATAATTACACTGACTGTAAATGGACTAAATGCACCAATAAAGGGACAGAGTGGCAGATTGGATAAGAAAACATGATCCGTTTATATGCTGCCTACAAGAGACACACTTTAGACTTAAAGACACAAACAAACTAAAACTCAAAGGGTGGAAAAAAATATATCAAGCAAACAACACTCAAAAAAGAGCAGGAGTGGCAATATTAATCTCTGACAAAATAGACTTTAAAGTAAAATCCACCTCAAAGGATAAGGAAGGACACTATATAATGACTAAAGGGCCAGTATACTAGAAGGACATAAGGATAATAAATATTTATGCAGCCAACGACAGGGCTCCAAAATACATAAATTCTAACAGCACTAAAAAGAGAGAGACAGCTCCACAATAGTAGTAGGAGACTTCAGCACACCACCTTCGGTGGAGGACAGAACATCCAGAAAGAAGCTCAACAGAGACACTGGAAGAGCTCAGTGCTACAACTAGCTAACTTGATCTCAGAGACATACACCGAACACTCCATACAACAGCAGCCAAGTGTACTTTCTTTTCCAGTGCACATGGAACATTCTCCCAGGTAGACCACATATTAGGTTGTAAAGCAAGCCTTAACAAAATGCAAAGCATCGAAATATTCCAAAGCATCTTTCTGACCATACAGCCATTAAAGTAGAAGTCAACAACACAAAAAGCAAGGAAAAATATCAAACACATGGAAACTGAACAACACCTTGCTCAAAAACTATTGGGTTATAGAAGAAATTATGGATGGAATAAAGAAATTCATAAAATCAAACAAGAATGAAAACACATCCTACCAGAACCTTTGGGACGCCGTAAAAGCAGTGTTCAGAGGTCAGTTCATAGCAATAAACGCACACAGCCAAAAGAAGAAAGGGCCATAATGAAAACATTAACCCTACTACTGGAACAAGTAGAAAGAGAGCAGCAAAA